AACAACATACCTTGAATCTGTTACTGGTGTGCATTAAAATGCCTGGGAGGACATTTAAAGGGTAACTGCCCACTATTCAGGCATTACATACATAGAGAAAAACTGGAAAACTCCATGTGACCAGTCTGTCCTGGTATGGCATGAACCCATAACTGAACACCGGAACACCAAACATTCATTTTAATTTACATTTTATTTCTTAATGTAAAATATGCATCATATACTTTAAAGCTAAATATATTTTATTGTTTGATACTTCATTTAAGTTACCTTCTTAGTTATTTGAACAAAAGCATTAGAATCAGTGTAATCTCTAACCTTCAAAAAGACAAATGTACATTTGTACTTTTATTCTAAAATCCCAGCTTTTAAAATAATATTTATCACAGCAATTCTCAACCAGGGGTATGTGTACCTCTAGGGATACACTCTTGATGGTTTGCTTAGTGGTATGTGAAAAAAAATTAATAATGGCAGATGTACTATAAAAATGTTTTGATTCTACATTGAGGCCTTTGGCAACATAACAGTACTCAATACTTAGTTTTAAATAAAAATATAATTATATTTTTATTATACTTATCTGTATCTTTCCTCCAAAGCTTTTCAATTTTAAAAAAACAACTTTTTTTTACATGTAATTGCACAGTGTTGTAGAGTATAATTGACCAAGGTTTAATGAACATGTGAAATAAATATAGGAAAATGGACTGCCAAGGGGTACCCAAGTCAAAAAATATTGGGAACTGCCGATCTATCACATATATGACAAATGCTTTAATATGTATAATATGCTAAGATTTGATTATAGCTAATGTATATATCTTAAAATGAGATTAAAATGTTTACTTAGAAAAATTAATGATAAGAAACTACTAAAAATAACTTAACAATTATAACCCTATATTTTAATATAATTACTACAGTAGAGCGTCGTTTATCTGAAAGAATTCCAGTAGGCAAATTTAAATTTTCGCTAGTGCTGTGGCGCTGCAATCTGTGGCTATATCTTGGGATACTCCAATATTTTTTTTGTTGATGTGTGTGTTTTAGCTGGCAGCACTGGCCTTTTGTGTGGTGTTTTTCTGAGGACTGTGTATCGTGCTGAATCGAACATTTTTGATACTAGATTAACTTTTAAAGTATAATTTTTTTGTTTTTATATTTTTCAATATATTTATTTTGTTTGTAAAAAATAAAGAAATAATTTTTAATGATACAATAGCCACAATTATTATTTTAAAAAGTTTACGTTAGGCTTAACATCGACGAAAATTCAATGCGAAGCAACACGCAATGGAGAAAAATTTCAACATGGGATAGGTTAATATATTTTTTCGTACATAATCAGTTATCTGAAAAATAAGTTATCCGAACAACCCCAGTCCCCAATTGATTCAGATAAATGACGCTCTACTGTATTTTATTTATAAAAATAATTCTCTCTATAGTATTGTTCTTTAACTTAACAATTACTGATAGCTACCATTGTATTTTAAAAGAAATTTCACTAAAATCAAATGTAATTGAATTTATTTTCATGCTATATATAAAAGACTATACATCAATTTAAATAAAATATAGCCCAGTTTTTTATTATACATAATTATAACACATAATTTTGTATCTTATATAATATAAAATCAAAGCCCAAATTATATATCAAATACTTGAATATTTAGCATACAATTTCTCATTTTGATTTATATTTCAAAGTAATGCAATTCTATAGTCCATAGAATTGATATACAAGTGTGCTAACAGAATAAAAATTAATGCTAATAGCAAAGTTACTAGTAGTAAGCAAACAGTGAGCTAAGATAAATATCACTCAATTTATTATTAATTTATGCCATTCCTGTATATCTTCCTCTATCCTTTCCAACTTATCCTTCATTATAATCTCCAGTGTATTTATCATTTCATCCCATAAAATGTAGATTTAATAATGTTGAGGTTTAGTTATATATGCTATTACAATTTGCGAGCAAAACAACTTTTAAATTTTCATGAATTTGCAAACACATCATGAATTTTTAATAATTAGTGTATTAATTTTTCTACTGAAATTATTATTTTATAATTACATTCTAAAATTCTTCACAGATACTCTTTACTAAATAACATTAATCATTTCTCTTCTTTATGGCAATAATTTTTTTTATTCATATTTCTGTTATATGCACATAGCAATTATCTTTATATGTAACAGCTGCAAGTTTAAATAGATGTATTACAATAAAGATAAAGATTTGTTCATTAAATTATGAAATTCAAACTTTAGCATATGAAATGATCAATATAATGGCATATAGACAAATTTATGGGCAGCTTCAGTATAAGATTATTAAATCATACCATTTGCATTAATATAATTAAAGAAAGCCATCTCTGTTTATTATTAAAAATAATTTTTTTAACAAATCTTTTCTCAAACCATCATTAAGTTTAAATACATTTGGAAAAACCAATTATTTACTATTAAAAATTTTTATTAATACCTAAAGATGTTTTCTTTTCTTATATTAACATATTTAATTTAATTTTTTTAAATGTTTATAATCTAGTACAAAAATTTATTTTAACTAACATTTTCATTTTTTAAATATCATATTTAACTTTGTATTTAAATGTTGTAATTTTGTTTTGTTGTATTCCATCCACAGAAACAATTGAAGTTTAAATTTAATACATAATATATTTGAATTTAATACATTTGAATATTCTATGATAATATAATGTAAAGATGGCTTTAAAAAAAAGCTTGATAGATGAGTTAAATAGCTTTACTAGTAAATTATAAACAATTGTTAAGAGTTTATCAAAATATACAGAGAGACTACAAAGTCTCTATGCATGAGATCATGTCTCAGTTACCAGTTAAAATATATCTAGATGACAAATTCAGTGGATAATGAATGGATTGGATTTACAGCTCATTTCATGAATCTAGACTGTGCTGTAACAGTACAGTACTGTGACTGCACAGTAGCAGGGACCAGTCCATTTTCCTAGTAAAGGAAACAGATTATCAAATATATGACAGGTCACTATGTGCTATCCAAAAAAAGGGGCTCCTGAACTTTATAAAACTTCAAGAGCTTCAACTGAATACCATACATGGCAATGATATATGAAACAATCTGTAAATATGTTAGTGTGCTCTCCTTAAAGTTCTATCAAATGAGCTGAGCTACACTTCTGAATTTTGATGGTCAGCTAACTTTAAGCTAGAGTCCAGAATTGCAGATTGGCTCACAGATCTCCTTGAGATGAATTTACTTACATGATCTATGCTATAGTCTGCAACATTTTATTTCAATTTCTGCTTTTGTTTCTGCTACTGCTGTAATATAGTATCAACATGATATAACTTTCATTTACAATCCCATCTCATAATGAATATATTTAGTATGTACATAAAAATAAAAAAATATAAATACTTGCTTCAATCCCAGACTAATCAGGTAAGAGGCTATCTTTCCCATCTATAAGTAGTTTTGATAAGTTTTGATAATTATTTATTCATTACAATACATTGAATTGGATGTACGGTACCTTAATATTCATTAAAGTACATTCAACTTATTGCACAGTTGTTGAATTCACATTTGCATCAGAAGAGATTTTCTTTAGATTTTTAGACTTTTTTCTCTAGACATCATCTTTGATTTTTCCTGTTATTTTTGTATATTCCAAGTTTTTCTGTTTTTTTGTAACTCAAGATTATTTTGGTCCTGTCCATTTTGAATTATCAAAACTTTTTTTGCTAGAAATTATTGTATTTATTTGTATTATTTTAAAAGATTGCCCTTTATTACTTTTAATAATTCTCTTAATCTAAAAATTGTTTATAGTTCAATTGCTTAACACTCAAGTAGTTTTTATTTGAATGTTCTCATTTTAGCAAAAGATAAATGAAAACATATCTGACATACTGTGTATCTGTTATTATTACAGATACAATTTAATTTCAAAAATGGGCTTTGCTACAACAAATCCCAGCTCAGCTTGATATTTCCAAATAGCAAAGCTGGGCTAAGCTTTGACAAACTTTAGGTCTCTTTGATGTCCAGATTTGACATGCAAACATTTGATTTCAGATACTGTGAAAGAAAACATTCAATCAGCTCCATCCTATAACAATCAAAGTCCTAAAAAAGTTAAGGATTCCTTTAATGATTTATAATTGTCAACATATCAGATAACGTTCACAAGAACATAAAGAAATATTTAAATTTGTACAGAAAACAGTGTGCACACAACAATACAGTATATGAAAACATCCTTACTAAAAACAGTACATAAAAATTTTGTATCAACATAAATCTGTTGTATCAAACATATCATCTATAATAAAAATATGATTTAACATCAACACTTGATAAAAAGAAAAGACATAGGGGGGAGAAGTTTTATCAACCTTTACTTTCTATTATATTTTTTAATTATAGAATACTTCCTTTGATTATGAAGCAATTTCCTTTACATATACTTATGTATATGTAAAGGAATTTTATTAAAGGACTACATAGAAGTATTCCTTTAATAAAATTTATTTTGTTGACAAAAGTGCTCAGATTTCCTTTAAAGTTTATCAACATTAACAATCAATAAAACCGAATTAGAAAATGAATTAAAGTTGCATTAATTTATATTCAATATTAATTACAATATTCATTTCAAATAAATGTATGACATCTGTGTAAATAAATGGCTTCACATATTTAAAAAATATATTTATTTAATTTCGAAATTTAATTAAAATTTACTGATTTTTTAAATATTTATCAATCCCGAAAGTATATAATTTGATTAAAATTGAGCAAATTTTTATTTAAAATTTAAATCATTCCACTTTTTCTTCGTGTTATTGCTAAAGTATGACTCACGTTTATGAAAATGCCTAATTGCAATTATATAAAATAAATTACGTATCTAATGTTTTAAAAATGTGTATATTGTGATCTTACGTCTTAGTAAATGCCAATAAAACTTACGATTAAAGTCAAATTGTGCTTCCTTCCGTCAATATTCGTTGCCAGAATCCCGAGCAACAGAACAACTAGGAAGGTCGCCATCTTGCCAGCATGCAACGCTTCAATTTGTGTTGAAACCGAAAGATGGAGCCACTACTACATTAACTTCGGTTCATATGGAGGCGCTGGTTGCACTACCGCAACAAACGCTAAGAGTGGATAAAATTATTGCTTCCGCTAGTGATTGCCATCGATTAAATTTTGTTTTTAATTGAAAGATTAAAACTGTATATAAATCATATAATTATTTAATTTATAAACTCGATTATTTTGTCGTTAAAGAGCGTTAAGTTAATTAGATTTGCTATGCGGCACCCTGTATACGGCATTAGGCTAGATTCACACTGGTGCTGCTGCAGTCGAACCGGTAAATGTACAAAACTATTTACATTTTTTTCCGGCGATAAAATATATTTAAAGAACGTGTGAAGTAAGCCCAAATTTTGATTCTATTTGAATTCACTAGCGCGTTTTCTAGAACAGGTGTACAAAAAATCATAGTACTGTAGTTCCAGAAATTTTATTTTTGACCTAGCGACATACTTTGTAACTCGATGTTCATTAAGGAGCATATAGACTATATATTATTTATTTATTTATATTTATTTATTAATTAATAATAATAATAATAATAATATAAGTTTAAATGTCTTTGCAGCAAAAATCCTCATTCGTGTTGTAAAAGTTTGCATTAACTTCAAAACAGTGTGCGACATTGCTTTTTTTTATTGTCCTGTATTAATGATGCTAGGCTAGAGCTAAATCTTATACGCAGCTCCTACAACAATAGTTGGCCAGGAGAATTCCAACCCTTGTCTAACGATAAAGTAGACTTACATCGTGTTTTTGAAGAACTCGTAAATACATATCAAATCAAAGGAAGACAACCAGGAATATGAACAATTCTCAATAATCTTTGTTATTCTGTCCTTATCGTCCTTGTGTTTTTTATCGTATTGTACAATATTCTTGTATATTTTTATTGTTTTATTCCATAACTTATTGTACTTTTGTCCATTTTTACCGTGTTTTTCAACTTTATTTTAATTCTGTATTCTACCTGATTACGCATTGTAATGCCGGAAATTTGTTAATAGATTGTGTGATGGTTGATGCACCACTTGAATGTTCGTTGATTTATAAAATAACCGAAGCTTAATATCTCACCATGAAAATTTATTTACAATCACGTATAAGATTTTGTTTTACACTTATTGAGTAAAGTTCGATCGGTTACAAGCATGCGTCGGTACAGAACATTCACTTGTGAGTAGTGTAGCCGAGAGAGAGAAGAAGAAGAAGATGGCGGGCGAACTGCACGTTTTAATAGCTCCATCTGGATTTTCACATTCAGCGCTAGGTTACATTATTCGACCGCTACAGATTGTATTGATGGACTGGCAGCATATCGTCTTTACAGACGAATCTGTTTGGGAACAGGATAATCAGCGTGTTGGACTATAGACAGGGCCGGCCATCGGGGGGGTGCGGCGGATGCTGTGCACCGGGGCCCCGCGATTGAGGGGGCCCTAACATTGTCAAGAATGCACAAGAAAACTCGACAATATTCCTATCGTTGTCAGTATGACGAAAAGTACATTTTATCGTAAACATTATTATTGTAATCTCTGAATTTCGACAATCTTCAAACTAATTCTCGTTGATGCGAATGTTTAGTTTTTGTTATTTGATTCGGGAAACTCCCGAGAATCCCCACCTAAATTCGACTTTTAAAAAAAAATCTCAATACCATATAGCCTGCGTTAAGAAATGAAATAATACTGTGGCCGTCGACCATATAAAATTATATGTATATTTGCATATAGTCGTAGTTTTAAGTAAATACGACTCTGTTCTAATCTATATATATAAAAATGAATGTATGTCTGTCTGTGTGTCCTATGTCCTTCATGCATTACCACACCGTTTATTTGATTGCCATGAAACTTTGNAAGATTTGTGTATTAAGGGAATTGATGCTATTATAAAATTTGGTGGTTAAAGGTCTAAGGGGGTGATGTGTCTTATCTCGAGTGGGGTCGGAGGTAATCAAGATTTTACTCGTTATTAGCATTTGCATTTTTTTTTTCTTTTTGTAAAACTCATCCCCAATCTCAAAAGTTAAGCTTTTTGTCATTTTATAACATTAATAACATTAATAAAACAAAAAGTTTTTTGATAAACTATCATAACAGATGTCACCACCATAGTTTTAAGTGTTTTTGCCGGAAAAGTTACGCAACTCGTTGCTGGAGTTTTGAACTTTTTATATGAAAATGAAAAAAATTGTATATGCTATTAGTTAAATTATTGATAACTAATTTATAAATTAGAATTAATAATGATAATAATATCTTTATTGTATTAAGGCAAGTCTTGTTACAAGAAAGAGATTCTTAGCGACATATTAATTTGGTACGAATAAAATTACAAGATTATATTTTATAACACCATTTTTTTTTAGTTTAAAAACAAACAAAATATTATTTAAATTAATATTCTCTTATAAACTTTATATTTTAGTCTTTACAATTACTTATATCGTGAAAAAGTTATATACAGTATTTACAAATATTTGTAATATTAATAGAGTTCAGTCAGTAATGATAATTAATCCATGTGATTAACTTTGTAAAATGTTATTTCCTAATCTTTACAAAGTAACTTGTCAATCAATTAACAAACGCAACACTAAGATTATTTCTTGATTGAAAAAATGACATCTAAGCATATTTAAAAATCTATCCCCAAAGTTAATATAAGTTTTATGAAGTCTAATTTCTGCTCAAAATTTTTTACATCTGTAATTTAATTTTAAGTTTATGCATGATTATGTAGGAGGATAAGGTGATATATTTATAACCCAGGGTTGGTAGTGTGTTCATGTCTCAATCTTTAAATACTCGAAGAAAGTGTTTAAGTTCCAATTTGTATTATCTTGAGATACGAAAAAATTCTATTGACATTTCATTTTTTTCTTTTTTGGGGGTGATACTCGAAAGTTGATTGTACTAGTTATCGTGTTGATTCTTATTCTTGTTTTATAAGATCTTTAGTTGATTAAACTTTTGTATACCATCATATGCTTTTTGTACAAATCACAGTAACCTATCCCTGATTTACCTTTAGTAGAAATATAAATATAGTTAGAGGTGAAATATCATCTTTTATCTACCATTTAGTATAGGCCTATATACATTCAATTCTAAAACCAAATACAATAGCAATTTATCTCTATTATTCAATATCAGGTCTTTATTAAATCTCTCGTTTAAAGCATTTTTATTACTATTATAATAAATTTAGTCTATTTATCTAGGGCCCCAAAGTGGGTTAATCCGACCCTGGCTTTGAGGACCCATCTCGTATGACGGTCACCACAGTAGTGATGCGAGGAATATTGGCAGCATAGCAGTGATTTCAAACAAGTCTTGCTCACTTTCGCCTTTCATAGCATGGCTACAAAGGCCTACAGCTATTTTCGGTAAGATAGTGTTCAGTTACACACAGCTAATCCCAGTAATGTTTCTGTCACATTTTAATACTTCATTAGCCCGTCCGGTCTTCAGATATGTCGCCTTTCAAGCATTTGTGGGGCTATATGAGATGCCAACTTCGGCCATCTACGCGATCGGTGATCTGAAGCGGCAGTAGCAACGTCGTGAACTAATCTCTCTGGATAACATAAAACTTCATGCCCGACCATATCGTCGCAAGTGTACATGCAAATGGAGATCCTACAAACTACTAAAGATCTTATCGTTGTTCCACAGGAAATTACAGTATTCCTTTACTAAGATTTTATAATAACTTGTTTACCATCGTCATCACGTCCGTACCTTTCGTAGTTTCATTCAATTCTAACGTCTTCTTGATGCGCAATTTTGTGTCAATAAGTGTATATAGTCAGTATAATTTTGTGTTAATAGAGAGGTTGAGGCGCACGTTTTAAACGTGTAAACGTGTACGTGTGACGTTCGGCGCCGCTTTCCCGTAAGCCTAAAAGTTTGACAATGGTGTTTGGATAGTCGGTGGAATCACGCTCGACATTCCAAACACCATCGTCAAACTTTTAGGCTTACGGGAAAGCGGCGCCGAACGTCACACGTACACGTTTACACGTTTAAAACGTGCGCCTCAACCTCTCTAATAAGTGTAATGTTGTGTCATAATGTATACTGTATTCAATAAATTCATTAATTTGAGGAAATTTTGAAACTAATTTTTGGGTATAATTGACTATCTATCTGACAATTTGTTCAAAGAACAGTCTGTAAAGCTCGATTTTCACGAAGTATAAGCAGTCGACAATGTAGCGCGGAAATCATTCGTCGGCGACTTAAACATTTACAAGTAGACTGCACTAACTGTAAGCAAACTCAAATGGATTCGAACTTCTTTCGCTATTCCAAAGTAACTGCATAAACTTCAGATATTTTTACTAATTTACTTTTAAAACATTCGAAATGTAATACAAACTTTGTTATAAATTCTTAAGCCTTTTAATCCTTCTCTGTTTACAAGGCTTTTAAATTTCAATACTTAATAGACGTTACGTATATAATATAAACAAATAAAAAGATATAAAATTCTGCTAATTAAAATTTTCCGGTTTGCTATGTATATAACAGAGGAAAAGTATGATGGTTGGTCAAAAAAATGACCTCCCCAAAATTTTGACTCGGGAAACTTGAAACATAGTAAATGAAAAAATGGGATTTTTTTCTATGTGTATGAATTTTTGTGTGTTGTACACGATTTTCTTCATCTACTTTGACGCTTAATAACTCCTGTGTCTTTTGTCAAAATTTTTGAAATTTTTCAGGAAGATTTGTGTATTAAGGGAATTGATGCTATTATAAAATTTGGTGGTTAAAGGTCTAAGGGGGTGATGTGTCTTATCTCGAGTGGGGTCGGAGGTAATCAAGATTTTACTCGTTATTAGCATTTGCATTTTTTTTTTCTTTTTGTAAAACTCATCCCCAATCTCAAAAGTTAAGCTTTTTGTCATTTTATAACATTAATAACATTAATAAAACAAAAAGTTTTTTGATAAACTATCATAACAGATGTCACCACCATAGTTTTAAGTGTTTTTGCCGGAAAAGTTACGCAACTCGTTGCTGGAGTTTTGAACTTTTTATATGAAAATGAAAAAAATTGTATATGCTATTAGTTAAATTATTGATAACTAATTTATAAATTAGAATTAATAATGATAATAATATCTTTATTGTATTAAGGCAAGTCTTGTTACAAGAAAGAGATTCTTAGCGACATATTAATTTGGTACGAATAAAATTACAAGATTATATTTTATAACACCATTTTTTTTTAGTTTAAAAACAAACAAAATATTATTTAAATTAATATTCTCTTATAAACTTTATATTTTAGTCTTTACAATTACTTATATCGTGAAAAAGTTATATACAGTATTTACAAATATTTGTAATATTAATAGAGTTCAGTCAGTAATGATAATTAATCCATGTGATTAACTTTGTAAAATGTTATTTCCTAATCTTTACAAAGTAACTTGTCAATCAATTAACAAACGCAACACTAAGATTATTTCTTGATTGAAAAAATGACATCTAAGCATATTTAAAAATCTATCCCCAAAGTTAATATAAGTTTTATGAAGTCTAATTTCTGCTCAAAATTTTTTACATCTGTAATTTAATTTTAAGTTTATGCATGATTATGTAGGAGGATAAGGTGATATATTTATAACCCAGGGTTGGTAGTGTGTTCATGTCTCAATCTTTAAATACTCGAAGAAAGTGTTTAAGTTCCAATTTGTATTATCTTGAGATACGAAAAAATTCTATTGACATTTCATTTTTTTCTTTTTTGGGGGTGATACTCGAAAGTTGATTGTACTAGTTATCGTGTTGATTCTTATTCTTGTTTTATAAGATCTTTAGTTGATTAAACTTTTGTATACCATCATATGCTTTTTGTACAAATCACAGTAACCTATCCCTGATTTACCTTTAGTAGAAATATAAATATAGTTAGAGGTGAAATATCATCTTTTATCTACCATTTAGTATAGGCCTATATACATTCAATTCTAAAACCAAATACAATAGCAATTTATCTCTATTATTCAATATCAGGTCTTTATTAAATCTCTCGTTTAAAGCATTTTTATTACTATTATAATAAATTTAGTCTATTTTATTTTGAATACGAGAATTAAAATCACCCATTACCATCTAGTGCGCTGCCAATTTTATTTAGTTCACTTAACTTATTATTCATTTCAACATACGAGAGAAAGTAAACCAGCAGTATCTTTTCTAATTTAAGGTAATTGTATATTTCATTTAATTTTACTAATCCTCGAGTATAATTTGCATTTTTCTCCAACAACATTGTATTTCCATCACTTTCTTAATTAACAATGTTAAACCATCTATTGATGTTTAACATTTAGACAAACCCTTTTATGTTCACGATTAGTCAACACAGTTTCCATCCAATATTTGTTTAAGTTAATATTTCTTACTTCCTGTTCGGACCAAGTCTCGGCTAAGCCAACAATATCAAACATATCTATAAATGAAAATTAAATTCGTAACTGAATACAGTCGATCCCCCTATAAGATCATTGATTTTTCCGTTTTATCTGAATTACATGTTGTACGAGTCACTTAGATTTTACAAATATGTGAGCCGTTCACAGCCCGGCACACGTATTTGTAAAATCTAAGTGACTCGTACAACATGTAATTCAGATAAAACGGAAAAATCAATGATCTTATAGGGGGATCGACTGTATTTGATGGTAGTCCTTGGCAATTTCATGTTCTAAGTCAAAGTTTAGTTTCTCGTTACCTCTAAAAAAGATTTCTTGTCAACGAATTTATTTAATACAAACTATATATATTATTTTAATATTATTGTAAGTTATGATATCATTTCTAAATTTTACCCTTTTTCCTTGTCTTTCCAATTTTTAAAATATATTCACTAAATTTTCCTTTCTATCCCTCGAAGCTCTTCTGAAGTCATTTAATAATTGTATTGTCATAAACGTCTATGAAAATTCATTATTAATTGATTTATTTTTATTAAACTCATGCATAATATTAAACTTCTTTTTTATATCTCGAAATATTATCTTTAATATTGTATGGTCCTGCTCTTTAATTATGAATGTATTAGTTACAGAATATATATAAAGTGACAACTACAATATCAAACATAAAACTAATATTCTCATTCTCAATTGATATGCTATATATTATTTATTATCATTTATAAAGACATTTTATAATTTATAATAAATTATAAAAATATATAAACCTTACAAAAAAAAGGACAGTCATAATTGAAATAAAATAGGTGAAATATAATTAATCGTACGAGCGTAAACGTAAAAACTAAACAAAGGATGTAACGTGTGACTTCAATTACTACATCATCTCAATAGTATCAGGCCCGATAAGAAGAAACGAACCGATCTTAATCGTGATGGCTCCAGTCTGCGATGCTAATGTGAATCCACTTTAATAAAAACAGAGCAGTCAGTTTTACCAATGGGCAAACTATTTACTTATTTTATTTTTCCAGTTGAGATGGATCTGAATCAAAATGAATTCAAGTGAACATGGAAGAGGACAGGAAATATAGGAATATACCGAGGAACAGGAAATAAAGTCCTGATTCGAAACTTCCCATAATAACTATAATTCGTTTGGGATTCGATCTCAGAATTTCACAACTAAAGAGAAATTCTTCGATACGCAAGATCTAAATGACATTAAAGAATGAAAATGCACTTTGCATATAAAACATAATTCGTTCTTAGAATATACAGTAACACTTTTTCAATTGAATTCACTTTACATGAATGCATAATTAATTACTGTATTAGCCCGAATATAACGCGACCCCGAATTTAACGCGAATCCAAAATTTTCATAAAGATATTTAGAAAAAAAATAATACTCATAAAAGAATTCAAAGAAAGTAAATTTCAATCAGATAAGCATTTATTTATGTAATTACAGTATAGCTAATAACACAGGCAACCTCTGTAGGAAAATGTCTTTGTTTATATTACATTCCATTACTTAAACCCCGAATTTAGCGCGAGTCGATTTTTTAACGGAAAATAAATGGTCGAAAAATATCGCGTTATATTCGGGCTAATACGGTAATTATTTAGGTCATAATTACTGAAAATAGTTAAATTATTAGTCTCTCACAGTCTGTTAGAAGGATATAAAATGATTTAATAGGCATATAGCCTGTACAATGCATATTAATTTTTTGAGATTGGTGGGAGGACTCTCGTAGCGTGAAACCTCGATCTGTAGCTCTCGTTTGCTGATATATAAATCGAATCACGATTTGGCTTTAGCTTTACCTTTTAATTTTTTCCTACAGTTTCTATCTATGTAGTCTTTAATATTTCTATAATTCTAAACATTTTATTAGAATATTTAACTGATTCATTGACTAATTGACTTGACTGAAATATTGTTTTGACTAACTTATTCATAATAATGGTATGTAAAGCTTTCAGATCTTACATACAGTAGCTGTATGTACAGTATGACTTGAAAGAGTTCTGGACTGGTCACAAACGTTGGGCACCATTTTTCCCTAAAATACATAAAATTATATTAATATTAATTTTATTAAAAATTAAAAACACAAATAAAAGCAGCCATTTAGAATAAGATATTTTAATTTTATCAGTTTTGTTTATCTTTTCTATATAAAAAATTAAATTTAGAGACTCTTTTGTGTCTAAGAACAAGGTTAAATGATCCTGTTAACTAACTGTAATAGAACCCAAGGCCTTGATACAGGAGAATATAGATAATAGAGAGAAATTGGCTCAGCAAATCTCATTTCTCTCTGGCAAAAACTAACAAATTGTAATTTTACACCTCATTTAACTTGAATCAATTTTATTACTCGACAAGAAAAATTTTTACTTTTTTTTTAACCTTCAGAAAAATTTTATGGAGTTAAAACTATTTTAAATCTGTTTCTGTACATTATCTACAATAAAATGAATGTAAATTATAATTTATTCTCCATTTTACTCGAGTTTTACGCAATTTTTTTCTAATTTTATTTTTAGTAAAAGCCAAAGAAACCTTTTAGATTTGTGAATTATATTCATTAATCCAATGAAAATAACTATATTTAAAAATAATTATACAATTCTCCGAAAATTACACTCATTATTGATTTTTTAGAAAGTGAAATTCTTTAATGATATTATCTTACATTTTTTTTTTATAACATCATTAAATAAAATAAATATTTTTATGTAATCTCATCAAAAAATATCTGATATGATATATATCTAAATAACTACTTTTTAAAATTTGCATCTAAAATAGCCTAGTATTATTTAATATAGGTATATATTTTTAATTTTTTGTAACCATTCCATCAAAATTATGAAAATTCTGTTTGCTTAATCAGTAAATATTTTCAATCATAACTAAATTTTTTTTCTGTACTGAATTAAAAAAAAAAAAAAAAAAAACAGGTTTGACTTCTTGTCTGCTACCTGTATGTGATGTGTTTATAAAATGCACTTTCAACCCTGATCAGGAAACACTCTCTCGTATACGGGTCAACTAGTGATAATATGTTCAGCACTCGCCAGATGTCGCGTTTTCTCAGATTTCCTGTCAGCTGGCAAGATGGAGAAGCTTCACTTTCTTCTACTGGTAAGTAATTATGTGTCATCATATAAAGCAATTACCTTTTTAATAATTAATCATCGCTTAAATAATATAAATAGCTATTAACTTTTATTAGTCCTTTCCTTTATTAATCATCAATATTCAACTTTTTTTTTATCTACAAAGTTTTTCTGAATGAGAAAATTGATAGTTAAAAAAGTGGCACGTAAAAAATGCGTCTAAAACATCAAAATCTTTAATAATTCTTGCTGATTTTATATTTATAGTGAAGAAAATTTGCACTGGTGAAAGTTTAGTTGTATATTTATCTTTAGAAATAAGTTTAATGTAAGTTTATATATTCAGATATCTTTTAATTGTCTTCATTAGAAAATCTTGGATTTTTCATTCAAACAAAGGAATTTTTTAGTTCTTCACATTTCCTAGAAACCTACCTGGCCAGATACTGCGCAGGTGGACCGGTTTGGGCCAAGGTGAAGTAAAATCATCGAAAAGGTCGCACTCGTGTAACACCTTTTCTGGATAAAATAACTGTTAAATTTATACCAAAGCTTCTTCTAAGAACGCTGGAATTCCTATTAACTTACACTATAAAATGGGAAATTAAAAATGATTTAAAAATTTTATTTATATCGAAAGATCAACATGATTAGAAAACTCACCAAACTTGTTAAAAAAAACTGATTATTGAAAAGTAGGATAGACTGATTGAATATAAGGATTTAAAAATAAAAATAAGGATTATTTTTCTGAATATTGTTTTTAACAGTCAAAATTCATCGAAAAGTCAGAAGGGTCCTTTAGTGCAGACCCAGACAAAGAGGGAGGGAGTCCTAAAATTTGATTTTTGGTATAAAATAACATATAAATTAACGTTTCTTTTAATAAGTTAGTAAAAATCTATTATTATTTTTATTGTTCTTATTTATATACTGGTAACATGACTTTTGGGGGATGGGTGAGCCCTATATCTATGACTATCTCGAGTCTCTTTTCACCTCTCAGGCTCGTAACTTTTGAATATATGTTAGACTGTGTACTTACACAATAGAAACATAAATTAATTATATTTAATTTTAACTTAGTTCCTCCTAATTTTGTACTTCGTTAGAGGAAACTAACATTTTACTCAAATATCCTGTTACTTGTTTAATTATCGCAATATTCAATTTATCCTATGAAATTAATTAATTCTAAGAACTGTACTCTAATGTTGATTAACAAATATTCGTAAAATAAGTATCATTAATTTTTTTATTATAATAATTCAATGTTAATTCATCGTTTAAAGTTATTGCATTAAATGTAGCCTATATAGAAAGGTCAAAGGTCACATTTCAATTATTTAAATATATTTTATTTCTATTAATTTGGCTATTCTTATTAATAATGATATAATTAAAATAGTAGGCCTAACAAAAACACTCGAAAGTTTTTAGAATTAACTGAATATCTGCTTCAGTAAGATTTTATAGTAGTATATTAGCGAGATGAGAAGTTACGGAAATTTAAATTAGTCTTTTAGGTTTAAAACAATAGTAATTAATGGCAGTTAGATAGGAAAATCAAGTAGAAAAACTGTAAAACTTGATAAATCTATATTATAAATCGTAACAGGTTAATAATTTCCAATTAAATTTTATTTCATTAGAATGACTATACAAACTCATTTTACTTTCCCGGCTGTTATATATACATAACAAAGCAAAGTATTGAAATCGTGTCAAATTTGATTTTCCGAGTTTTTTGCAAATCTCTATGTTTTGAGATCTCCTAAACCAAAAAAAGTAAAAACAAAAACAGAAAAATTTCCGTGGATATATATATATATATATATATATGTGTGTGTGTTTATGTGTGTCTGTGTGTGTGTGACGTGTATTTCGTTTAACATCTTAAGATGGGGTGAAGATTAAAAAACGAAATTTGGCACGGTAGCTTGTGTATAAGGGGCATTGATGCTATTACATTTTGGTGATGAAAGGTCAAGAAGAAGGGGAGATAGAGGGTGGTCACGTGTCATATCTCGCGTGGGGTTGAGCTTAATAAAAATTTTACTTGTTAGCATTTACATATCTTTATAAAACTCATATCTCTCTTAAAATTAAGTCCTTTGTTATTTTATAATAATTAAAAATATATAAAGTTTTTATAACAAAATCTCATAATAAATGACACTACATATAATTTTATTTATTTATTATGAATAATAATTAAAAAGTGATTTTTAAAATAAAATCTCATAACAGCCATCTAAGCAACTCGTTGCTAGATTTTTTCATTTCAAGTGATAATAAAATTGTGACTGACTTCTGTTGTAGAAAGGATTGTAACTTTAGTAGGATAAGGCAAGGCAACATAAGGAAGATTCCTCCCGAGAGGACTTATGGGAAGCTGACCCCATGTATTAGATACGTGGTCCAGTGTCGTGCAGTACCCTCGTCAGTGGTTTTTAATCGGGGTGCCGCGGCATCTTAGGATACCGCAACGACATTTCGGGAGTGCCGCGAAGTATAGTGCTGAGCAGCGCGATTATACTTCTTATGTGTATCTGATTACGCAAAGCTCAATAACTCTACATTGATAAAGTAGTAAGGATGCCGTAAGAATTACCAAGTTGGGGTGTCACTATTAAAAACAAGGTTAAAAAACACTGGGTTAACTCCTTACTGTGAATAAGGCCTTTAATGGTTAGAAAACAATAGTTAGTTCAGGAAGTGTAAACTGATAACAAGTAAAATAGGGTAAAATAAAATTGCAGAATATTTCATTATTGTTAAAATTAGAAATTTAGCAACTTCCAATCAAGAAAAAATAAACAATGACAGCAATAATTATAATGCAACAATGATAAAGTTCATATATAAAAATTTAATTGTCGTCGAAGATCTGGAATTGAAAACATTAAGGAATCCAAATGAATTCCGATGATTATTTGTATTTGTTTGTCATTATATTTTATTTCGTTATTGCTGTGTGATTCTATCACCCAGCAAATAAAATACTTCGGATTATATTCAAAAAGAAAGGGAAACAGAGAAGAAAACGGAATTTTATCAAAAGATTCTTTGAGGAAAACGAATTCTGAAAACTCTTGCAACAACGTCTATACTTTACGACATCGTCCTCACACTGATACAGAATGCTAGTCTAAAGAATCGAATGATGCTTTGAAAGAGAATTCATTGGATGAGAAAACCTTCGGCTGTTATGTAATAATTTTGAAGAACAGACGGCGTTGGAAAAAACAAAGGGATCAAAACGTAAATAAGAGAAAAAATGAAAAATGTGTATTTTCAATATCGCTCCAACTACCAGCAGCAATCTAGTGTGAAGACTTCAGATAAAATTTACAAATATCAAAATTTATGCTATTTAAAAATTAGAAGCATTGATAAATTAAAAACTGAAGTACTTTAATTCCTTTTAACTTACTTGAGAGACTAAAAAATTAATTTTATAATTATTCAAGAGAAAAATAATTCGGTTAAATAAAATTTTAAATTGTTTTATCTTCCTTGAGAAGAAATCTGATTTTTTGTGTTCTTATTATTTACGGAAATATGAACTGATTATACAATATTTATTATTGACAAGACTATGTCTTGTTTATAAAATCGTACTGCCCGATGTTCTTACCAGCATAGAGGTATGAAGGAGTATATGTCGAGAGTTGATATTTGGCACAGAGTATTAGGTGCCCAAATCATTTGCGCATAAAAAAATCCAGACTCGTAGGTAGTCGGGGGACCGAGAATCGAGTCAAAATAAAATACAAAATGGCGACCCTCGTCTACAAACAGGCAAAACAGCCACCTCACCCCACCGAAGTTGGGTAGGGAAGAGTACAGTACCACCCACAGTCATTCTAAGAAGTGAACTCTGACCTTAGGACTGAACACGTAGTTTCTTCTATGTTAAATAAAATTTGTAATCTAATTTTGTAAATTTGGGAGTGCTTCAAATATGACGTTAAAACGGTTTTATGTCGTTACAAGTGGGGTTTTTTTAATATTATCTAGTATAGTAAAATCGTAGGACCGATAAAAATTTGACGTTATATTAGGGTTGTCGTTACATTCGATGGCATTATAATCGGGTTAAACTGTATATTGTTTGTGCAAAATAAAAGAAATAATTTCGGACGATACAATAGCCACGATTATTTTTTTCAAAAACGGGAACTTTTCGTTAGGCATCGACAAAAATTCAACCCGGGCCGACACGCAACGGAGAGAAATTTTGAAATTAGATAGGTTAATTTCATCGAAGATGCATCGTGGACGATCTCATGGTCGTGGTCGACGAAGTTTGAACGATCGTGCCCAAAAGCAGCGATATCAAAGAAGATAGGAGAATGAGAACGAGACCTGCCTTGAGCATCAAAGTGATTCCCTCTCCGAGACATAGTCTTGTCCCAAATACGGTTTTGCCGTTTTACCTGTTATTAATATTAGTTCTAATCGCAAATATAGACGGCTGGATGGCCAAGATGATTCAGGCATCCAGCCTACTGCTCTGGGAGATCCGGAATTAAACCCGGAATTAAACCCGGAATTCTTCAATGTGTGGTTTGTTCCGAATATGTTGGGTTCCGTCCTTCACCATCCGATCGCTCTTATTGCGGACTTGGCAGAACCCTTGAAGGGTATAGTTAAAGGATCCTCCTAGTGTCCACAGAGTAAAAAGAATATAATTGTACAACAAAAATGTATTAAATATTGGAATTATGTCATTACTTAGGTAGTTCTTGTAAATAATCGCGTAGATTTGAGAAGAGGGAACTAAACTTTCGTTTTACTCTTGAACGTTTATTTTGGGGATTTTGTTTAGTTTATAGAGACTTAAAGAGACTACTTTACATTCGTAAACGGTAAAAAAATTCAAAAAGCAGCTTACAGTTCGCAATCTGTCTTCCCAGAGAGAGAGAGAGAGAGAGAGAGAGAGAGAGAGAGAGAGAGCCATTTATCACGTGACTTCTGAAAAAATCGGTTTGTAGCAATTTCGATGGATTAACATCAAACAACCGAAATTGCTGCAAACCGATTTATCAATAAATATAGCTTGAACGGTTTATTATGAGTAGAGCTACTTGCCAGCAGGAAAAGTGAAAATTATAGATCCACGAGAGTATGTAAATGAGATAAGTGATACTTTTGAGTCGTTATGCCGAAATAGAAGTGTGCATGCATAGGCCTCCTAAATATAAAATGCATATTTAATCATTATCTATATTACAATTCAAAATTTTCCTCTTCTGGGTAAGCTGGTAAAGACTGTCTTTGTTTTAATTTTCATAACACAAATATCGATGGCTAAGAAATGATACCTCGTATCGCAGTGAAAACTCCTACTATATTATTATGTTAAAAAAATGGACAGTCAACAATACAGTATTTTGTCGTTGATGAGATACCTTTAAAGGCTAGAAAAATAAATAAAATGTTTGTCTATTTTGAGGAAACTTAATTTTGAAATCAGGTTTTTAAGGTTTTTTTGTCTCTTGAAAGTTTACAGATAGGAGGTATCAATTCTTAGCCATCGATATACATTTGGAAAGGAAAAAACAGTCATAAAACAACTTAGGCCTATATGAAGAGTTTTACAACATGATCCTAACAGATTTCAATAATACTGTGTGTGAATAAATCTTGGTATGAGGCTAAAACTTCCGTGGATGTGTGTGTGTTTTGTTTAATATCTCTGGATGGGTTAATCATTAAGAAACGAAATTTGTCTTGTTAACTCTTGTATAAGGGCCATTTATGCAATTAAATTTTCGTGGTTAAAGATCTAGGGCAGGAGTGGCGAACCTATGGCACTCGTGCTCAAAGTGGCACGTAAGGAGAAATCATCTTGCACGGAACGTATCATATGATTTCTATTTATTATTATTATTTTTTAATCATCCTTTCGGCTTATCGCCTGATCATCCTTTTTTCAATCAGCTTTTTTACATTTATTCTAATTAAAGCATATTCGTTTAATTAATTTAAATATCATTATTCGAAGTCTAAAATTTTTGGCACGCATAAACATCTTTAAAGCTAAGTACGAGTACTATATGGCACGCGGGCTCAAAAAGGTTTGCCACCCCTGGTCTAGGGGTGAGGAGATAGAAGGGTGTCATGTGTCATATCGCGAGAGGAGTCGAACTTAATGATGTTATTCTTTATCAGCATTTACAATTTTTTATGAAACTCATCAATACCCTAAAATTCTTCTTCTTGCCATTCGATAATAATTAAAAATATAAAAAGAATTTTGTAACAAAATCTCATAACAGATGGCGCCACACACAATTCAATATATTATAATTAAAAATCTAAAAGTTATTTTTTAAATAAAATCTCATAACAGCCGGGAAAGTTACGCAACTTGTTGCTGTATTTTTTGATATAAATATTCATTCGAAATTTGAGTTCTGTTGTTTATTGAATACTTTCTTACTATATTAAATTCACTTTAATGTTTAAACATGTATTACTTTTTCATAAATATATTGTGCATTATACTTTCGGATATAATTAAAATTCTGAATCGAATTTGAACCTCGTGATGATGTATTTAGAAATCGAGTTGTTAGAAATTTAAATTTTTAAATATATTTATTATATGAACTTTAATGTTATGAACATATGGAGGATTTCTTTTGATATTTCTAAGAAAATTTATAAATTATAATGTTTAGATTGGAACTTTCATAGTAACAAAAGGCAATTCACAAAATGTTACATCTTTCTCTGATAACAAGAGCGAATTCGCATCCGATAAAACGAGAGGTAAGTGACATTTTTTTTAAAAAAATATTTAAATTTATCGTTTTAGAAAATCGTAAATTAAGAATTTTTAAATTAACGTCGTCATCTTTCTATCATTCCAACATCTTGTTATGACAAGATGGTCAAAATCTTCTATCTTTCCCTATCTTCCTATAATCATTCTTTATGTACAATCGTCTATTCTTTCCCACTTTCCCAAGTTCTCTTTAATTATTTATCAATTTATATTTCTACTATGAAGTTGGAAAAACTAAATTAATTATCATTTAATATTTATTTACTATTATTCGTTATTTCTGATAGTTTCACTCTCTTGCGACTCTGATGTTATCTCAGTAAATTTAAATTTCACTAAACCTTTCCACGGAGTTGTCTATGCTGGACCTCCCAAAAGTTCTTGCAGATTGAGAGGAACTGGAGATACATTTTATATTCTTCGAGTGCCATTAGATGATTGCGAAACCTGCGTAAATCATCAGGTGAGAACTTAAAATATGAATCTTAAGAAATTTTATAATAAGATGATTATAAGTTACATGACTTGTAAGGATTTGTATTAAGTCACATGCAATACCTCCAGTTTCTGATATTATTTACATTTATTAAATTTATACAACTGACGATGAATTGATTCCTTTGTTAACCTATATCCTAGTACATTGGGGCAATATAATGTGGCCACATTTTCCTCTATTACAAAGGACAACGTAACCTAATCAGTGAGATCGAATAACATGATATGCATTCAGAGACGAAGATGAACGTCCTATTCGTCATACCAGAAAAAATTCTCCTGAAACTCTTTTCTATAAATTATATATTACAATATCTGTAATTAATTTATTTATAAATTGTTCTAATATGAAAACGTTGGACAATTTGAACTTATAAAAATTGATTTAACGAATTTCAAAATATATTTAAAGCATAGGGATTTTAATCAGTGATTTTAAAATATTTTAAAACATAAGAAAGATAAGATGACTAATCGAAATTTCAAGAAAATTAGAAAAATTTAAGATAAAGAATTTTATTTCATTTTTAAAATGTTATCATTGTTGGAAGTTGTTGTTGTTGTGAAGATCGTAATGCTTGTTAGAGTAAAGGCTATGGCAATTTTTACGAGATTGAGATGGATATGTAGGAAATAACCTAAAGACACGCTATTAGTCTTCCTGATAACATTTAACGCATTGTTCTCATTGACTTAACTCGCACTGCAGGTTCAGAATTTACGCCTAAGGCAATGTAATCAATCTTATGCCACTTTCAACATACAACAGAATGTACTGTATATTGTTCTTCCTGTTTGTGAACGTTTACATTAACTTAAAAGGAATAAATACAAACTATACGAGTTTTGATATTGTGTTAAATTTTTAATGCCATTTGAAAAAAGTTTTTTCTTTGAAATTCCTGAGGCGACGGTTTAGCTCCAGTTCCATCTCTCTGGAGCCAGTGTGGAATCTTAGCTATTAATGCCTGTATTTTTACGAGTGCTGGAGATTTCCAGAACTTCAAATAAGGACGAAGCTGTGCTCCTTGGGCAGTAGCCTATGCATTCTATCGTGGCTGTTGCATCCAATTGAATTCAGCAGCCACTATAGCAAGCATCAAATATTGTCTAGTTGTTTACATGAATGGGTTACCAGATATTTCGTTCCTCACCTCTGATCTTCCTATCGACTTCGGCACAATTCCGACCGCAGTGCTGGGTGGCCTTCCTCACACAGCTTCACACAGCACAGTATAAAACACTTAAGTAATGGATGACACAGAATAAGTTCAAAATTATTCGCATTTTTATACTAGAATTTAAGCAAAATATTATTTAAGAAAAACCTGTATATAATCAGTAATTTAGCTATTAAATCTAATTTAATGGTTATGATTTTATGATTAATTAATAGATTTCACATTTTAAATTAAATAATTTTCTACGCTTTAGTTGCCTTGAAGCTATTTTGGCATATTTTAACAAAATGCACTTAATGTATTGTATTCTGTTCAGTTATATTTCAATATGTTTGCTTTTTAATTCAACATTTTTTTTAAACTTTCGTTTAAAAATTTGAAATTGGTAACTTCAAAAAAATGAATACTGACAAAAGTTAATGTGTTAGTGGAGACAGTTTTCAGACTGTGAAATGAATCATTCAATGATTTTTAGTCGATGATATCACAGTTGCTAATGGTACAGTAGGTGTAACGAACAATAACGTCAAAAACTGGATTTTGGGCAGACAAATTAATTTATATATCATACGATAATTTGTTAAATTTTCCCTCATATAATCTTATAAATCATCGTTAGATATTGATGAATTTTTTAAGTCTGCTTTACACACCATCTTTGTATATAAGCTATATCTAAAACAGGACATGTACTGTACTTAAAACGAGGACATTTGTATTCTTTAAAAAAATACAAATGTCTTTTTTCATTGAAGTAGAACAAATAAATTTTCATGAGAACGTTATTTAGATTTAAAAAAAGTATGTTCACTTTCCTTTCTTTGGACGAATATAGTAAAGTAAAGGTTTCAATCTAACGCTATGATAGATCTAAATTCGAAAATTATCTGGTTTCGTATGATTGATTTACATGGGAAGCTCGAGTCAGGATATCGTTTACCTCAAAGTCATGCCCAGTAATTTCATTGATGTACTGTACGTCCTCACTAATACAGACCAAATTTACTGTCATCTACGAACCATAGTGCTTCACGTTAAAAAGTAAATAAAATAAAATCGTTTGATAGAAATATAATTAACAATGAAAATCATGTATAAACTAAGTTAATTTGATCGTAATAATAATAATTTTAATAATGTTTAATTTAAATTGATTGAAATAAAAATACTTTTTTTAATGTTTATAGTGTTCTTCGGGAACATTCGTCAACACACTTCATATAAGATATCACCCAACTTTAGAGTTAGAAGGTGACGAAATCAAGACAATCATCTGCAGATTTCGAACAGGAACAATTCGACTAGGATAAAAAATATTTTTATTAAATACTTTTTTAATTATATTTTCTCTGTTGTAAATTATATTTTCTTCTTATGCCATATTTTAAAATCGATTTTATTAAATTTGATAAAGTACACGTTTACAACATTTACATAGAATAAACTTAAGTCTATAATAACACATTTTCATTAATTAAATAAATATGAGAGTGGCACAAGTTAATACACTTGACCTATATATGAAGTATTGATACTTTAACTCATTGTTATAATAAAAGCAAGTTTAAAAACATATTTTACATCAATTTTTATATTATAACATTTTCATGGTATAAAAAAAAATACAGAAATTCATTTAATAACATTCTTCACGTTACTTTTACATCCGTATTCATAACTGAGGATCAAGAGTTAGAGTTATAAATTGACCAATAAGCGTTCACGTACTAAAAGAAAGTGAATGCTAATTGGTTAACTCAATTATGAATATGGTCGTTAATTATTTTTATTCTCATAAAAGCAACAAACAATAAAACGCAGAATTTATATAAAAAATTTTTATTGGTCAATTTATAACTCTAACTCTTGATCCTCAGTTATGAATACGGATGTAAAAGTAACGTGAAGAATGTTATTAAATGAATTTCTGTATTTTTTTTTATACCATGAAAATGTTATAATATAAAAATTGATGTAAAATATGTTTTTAAACTTGCTTTTATTATAACAATGACACAAAAATTTAAATTAATTTTTTTGTATTTTTTTACATAAACTGAACATTCATTTACTTTAATTAATTCTAGATATTTAATAATAAAAGCATTTTATTGAATTAAATTTTATTTCAAGCTACTTTCTTTAATTAAAATATAGAATTGAAAATTAGAATCGGTTGTATACTATCTAATGTAAAAATAAAATAAACAATTATAATTATATCTTGGAAAGCATCAGCAGCAATATCAGCATCAATTGTTAGAACAAGTAATCGAATTAAAGCACTTACGATAAAATGTTTCTCTCTGACATCCACATCATCCCATGTACTGTACTGTTTTAAGAGAAAGAAATGTAACTAAGTATTATTTAATTAAACATTTAGATAAGTTTCATAAGTGTGTAAAATATATCTTCAAACAATATGCAATTTAAGAATATTTAACAGGAACAGCAGGACAAAGACATTTAAGTTAAACATTTATTATATTTATTTGTAAGTTGTTTAATTTTTTTAAACATATTTCTAAACTTTAAGCTTATCATTTTGTATCTTACTTAATTAAAGATCATCAGAGAAAGTTGTGCCTCTTCTAATGGTTCTCAACTGGTGTGCCGGTGTGCCGCGATACATTGATCTGTCATTAACTTCTGTTGTTTTATTCTCACTTTAAATATTATTGGGCCGCAATTCGAAAAAATTGTAGACCTATAAATTTCCATTATCGTCTGATGTCTGTCCTTCCTTAATCCCGAGAACAGAGTTAGGTAGATGAAAGATGAGATCAGATATGGAAAACTTAGGGACAAGAAGCTCCCAATTAGCTATAAATGAATTTCTGATGCAAACCGGAAGTCACGTTATTTCAATTCAAAAATTTCCCCCTAAAAGGTATTAGATAGATGGTTGGCATGACTCTATTGTTAAAGGAAAAGTATGATATACAGGGGCAAGACACTACTAATTTGAGGTGGAGAGCACATATTTTATTGATACAATAAATAAATTAAAAATATGATAAAAAAATTGCAGCCCGACATTGTGACAATAACACAATAAATATTTGCTATATTATATTAAAAAATATATTTGCTAGTTGTTATATAAAATTATTTACTGAATACAAAATAATTAAAATAACAATATTCAAATAATTTTTTATTCGTTTAAAGTTTTTAATAGAATTCTATACTATTTTTAAAAAAATCATTTAAAAAGGTTAGGTTTTAAATATTTATACATTTTTATACAAAACTTGCAGATCTTCAACGTCTTGTTTTGTTTATACATGCAGAGACATGCGACACTGTCTCGTTGATCTGCCATCAGCTCAAAAAGGGCATGGCCAAACCCACGATGGGCTTGATAAAAAGGCATTCTTAGTGCCCACAAGGCAGAAATATTAAAAAAAAAACCTTTGTAAACATTTTGTGCTGAAATTCGTTAAGTGCCGAGTAGCATTGTTACTTCGTTTATAGAAGAGTACAACGAGTAACGCACGATCAAGCAAAATGAGCATCACCTGTTCATCTGTCAAAGACTTGTGAAGACTATTTTAAAACTGCTTTTATACCCTGAAATCCATTGAAAACATATGCAATATACACATTAGCGGGGCAGCAGCGCTAAATTTCGCCTTATCGGTTGAGATGTGCTTAATATTTCTACAGAGAGCTTTGAACACATTACTTAATTACGACCACACTATTTATCCAAAAATTTCCAACCAATTCCGAAATTTGTCTTTAATTTAAAAAATTAAATATAGACTTTTTTCTGCAAAAACTTTTTCATTTGCTTTTAATATAAGATTTTTATTATTATACTGTACATTTATCAAACCTATTAATGTCAAAAACAGCTGACTTGGATTTAATTTTAGAAAGAAAGAATAGACAAAATTAAATTTATTGTGCAGTAACGATCATTATCCTTGTGATTTATTTACTTGATTGTTATCTTAATATGCATAATAATTAAATTATCACATTTTTTTTTCTCCTTGAGCTTGAATTTCAAAGTACACACATTATAAATAACTTTAAAACTAGATTATGAATTTATGTTTTTGTTTGTTTATCTTTAATATAAAAATTAGAGTAAAAGTAATATCAATAGAATTTTTCGTTATGTTTTCACCCTATCTTATTTTTATACTTTTATTCATAAATAAAAAAATAAAATTGCCACTACGAACTAAATTTCTTTAGGATATAACAGGTAATTTATGCATTATTCTGTATAAATTCATGTATAAATTTTATTAACAATAAAAAAATAATAAAAATAAAACCTCAATAATTTAAGATGACACCGTCAATTTCTGTTACCATGTTAATGAGATATTCAATTTTTACAAAAATTTATATGTAAAGAAAATCTAGCAACGAGTTGAATAATTCCCGGCGAAAATGTATATATTTAAGAAAAGAAAAACAGCAAAGTTTAAAATTGTATGTGGTGCCATCTGTTATAAAAATTTATTGTTTTAATAAAATCTCTTATTATTAATTATAATTTAAAAAAAAAAAAGGCAAAAGACTTAATTTTGAGGGTAGAGATGAGTTTTTAAAAAATATTGTAAATTCCAATAACGATTATAGTTTTCATTACGTCGGATCTCATACGATATATGACATGACCTTTATTTCCCCTCCTCGCCATCTTGCTTGCGGACGTCGTGTTTGCAAGTTTTAAATTAGACTTCAAATGGTACTGCTATCTTAAAAACGAAACACGGCAGCGTGCTTGTCGGTAGTATGTTAAGTAAGTCTGAAAATGTCTTTCAGTTCTTCTAATTCTAGTAAAATATTTCTTAATGTATGTTTGTTTTTCTAATAAAAGATAAAAGTAAACACTGTACTGTTGAAGATTTGTAAAAATTGAATGGATGCCTAAAAATTGCCAGACCAAAATCATACATTCTGACACGTGACCAATGTCAATCTGCCTATCAAATTCGCCCGCTAATATTAATTTGTGAATTTTAAGAGGTGACTTTGATATTATACTGTAATAATAATTCGTTTCATTCCTTACTGTAATTATTCCAGACTTATGATTTCAAGCCTTTGAAATGTGTTAAAAGTGATGCCATCAAAGTATGTACAGTACAATATGTGAGTCAAGGAGTGGATCATAGAAAGATTACTCGAAAAATCCATGCAAAATTCAACTACTAATATTTGAAATAAATGAATATTAATTTAAGAAGCATCAGTCACGTATGGTATACCTTCGGAACTCTAAACAATAAAATTCGTGGTAAACCTACAGGAAAAATAGGAAGCCAAACACTTCTGACAGAACTAAAAGAACAGTTTGTCACATTAATCTGTTAGCAGAATGGGACTTTCTGATATCAAGAAAAAAGTCAGAATTGCTGTGAAAGAATGGATTGGACGCGAGGTTTTAATTAATTAAAGAACGGCATCCTGATTTTTGTGAACGATATTGTCGAAGCATAAACTAAAGTGATTTTAAGATAAAAGGCAATGAATATCGTGTAAACAAACGTGTTTATATAAATATGGATTTGAATTGGGTATAAATAAATTTTTCTTTAAAATATTACAAAATTTGTAAATTAAGTATTTATTAGAAAAATATAAAAGTTAATGCGAAGTGTCTTATGAGAGACTACGTTTGACAAACTTTCACCATTGTTGACGTCATTGCACTCCTCCCCATTCCAAACACATCAGCCGACGTCACAATTCATCCAAATATTCTTTACGTTTATTCGTCCTTTTCCATAAATACCGAAAAAAGACGTTTGCCGATTGGTCTATTTTGTGACGTTACCTGTCGTGTCTGTTTTATGGAGACAGAGTTGGGATGTAGTCTAGCACGAAACTCCCGCCAGACAGCGCATTTATTACGGTCAATGGTCATAGAAGGGATTTTTCAGGGAGTGATCTATTCAAATATGTCGGGCCCCGTCCCTCACCACCCGACCGCCCCGCTTTGAGCCTGGCCGAACCCATAATGTGTTTACTAAAAGTGGTCTTCTTAGTATCCACTGGGCGGAAAGAGTTTTAAAGAAACTCTCACAATGGCTGGTTTGACGTAATTCATCAAAAAAATGGTTTGACCAAATCGTCATACCTTGGAGTTGGCGCCTGCCTGGACCAAACGTGATTATAGGCGACAACTTGTCCTCACATTTTCCCATACTAGTGCCAGAAGTGCTGAGATCGATATGATTCATTTGTTTTCCTTCCAATGTAAATCCTGTGCCAGCCTCTCGATGTAGTCTTTTTTACTTCTTTAAAACGTTGTAGACGTAAAATTCTCAACGATTTGAAGTCAAGAAACTGCCTGAACCGAGAATCCGGTACA